ATAATAATAATAATAATAATAATAATAATAATAATAATAATAATAATAATAATAATAATAGATAATAATAATAGATAATAGATAATATCAAATCTTTTTTTTTAATAAAATCAACTGAACTGACACATGAACGAAGAGCCAACAAGTGATAAAAAAAAAAAAATAAAAAATAAATAAACATTTCGGGGCAACGATCATACAAAATCGATACACATCGATACACGTGGAGAGACATAAGGGAGGATTGTTGACACTTGCATCGTAAAATATATATATATTGATCATACGTCATTCAATTTATGGCCAATGTTCATCATCAAAACATCGAGATAAAAAGTGTTTCAGAGCGTATGTGATATATAAGATTGGCATCTTATCTTGGCGCAATCGTAACACATCGATCTTTGAACAGAGACAAATTTTTGTGTGTGTACATCGAATAAAATGATATCACCTCGATTCTTATGCAAGCACTTGGATTATTAGCTTTTCGTGTAAACAGGCGGGTAAAAAAAAAGTATCGATCCCATTGTGTCATTTTTTTTGTTCTCATTGCCGAAAACTGAAACAGTCTCGATCGAGGTGAACGGAACTCTGATGCCTGACGTTCTGAAACATTGTTAAAAGTATTCATTGTTAGAAGTACAAAGAAAAACTGTACGAAAAAAAAAAAAAAAAAGAAATTTATTTCATTCGTCTAAATAAAATAGAATTCTAATTATTTAGAATCCAGTTCAAGTTCGATCGAGCTGTTTAAGATTCGGCTCAGCGCATCCGCCATTACTTCGCATGGTAGTATATATAGTTGTATCGGTAGCGTTACGTGGATACTTTCCAGCTGCGAGGCCAAACTTAAAAATGGAGATTCACTCGTGTCACATGCTGACGTCAGTGTTGTCATTGCTGCTCCCCTCTCCTGCCTGTCGCATTCTTTTCTACTTCATCATGCTTTCGCATTTTTTTTTTTTAATCTTGATACGACGAAAATCAAATTAGGAAATTGGATTGGGGAAGAAGGGGAAAGAATTCGTTTCAAATTGGGGAAGAAAAGAAAAGAAAGAAAGAAATTCTCTTTACGCACAGAAAGAAAAAAAAATATATCGGTACGGTTCTCTGCGTTTCAACCAGACCAATACCTCCCTTACCAGATTCTTACACATTCTCAACACAATCATCTTCGATCTTCCATATTCGCTCCAATCCATAGAAGATGCTAGTGGATCGGTCGCGCAATGACAAACTGGAAATAAAAAGGGGCAGACGGATAGAAGAGAAACGCATAAGTGAAATTAAAAATTGTAGAGAATAGAGAATAATAAAGAGTAGAGAAGATAGCCTCGCAGCCGCGCGTGCGACAATGAACAAATGACGCGACACGAGCCGCATGGCTTGCCAGAGAAACACCGGTTAGCTCGCTTTTAACTCAAGCAAGCACCGAAGCTTGTTTGGCAAGAGGCT